TAATAAAATTCACGTTCTTTTTCTAAACCAGCAATTTGAGCTGCATGCTGCTGAATAATTTCTTGTAAATTATCAATCTATTGAAAATTGTATAACTAAAATTTATTTCTAATAAACAAATTTAAATTTTACTTCTTGTTGTAATCGTAGATTTTCATTAGTATTCATTCCTTGATGGTGATTATTTATAGTGCTACTATGATTAGCTGGTATTGTTGGTCGATGAATTACAGACGTCGTTTTTGGTGGTTGCTGTTGGACAGGTTTTGCTATTGAAAGAAAAATTTATATTGATTATTTATTGTTTTCTTAAAATTTTATTGAATAACATTACTGGTAGTTACGGGTTTTGATGGTTGTGGAGCAGCAGCAGGTCTTGTAACTGGCACTCGAGGAGCAGGCGGTGCACGAATACCTGAAGAACTACCAGCTCCAGGGCCTGTTGCTTTGGTATCACCACCTAATGGTCTATAGATTAAAAAAAATTAAACTAATAGTCTTAATCGAATTGATATAAAACAATAATTTGACGTACTGTCCATCACGAGCAGCGACAGGATCATAATCTTGAGCATCTGTATAATTAGCATCAAAAAACTTTTTAAACCATTGAACAAACTCAAAATTATCCTGAAATTTTCCTTTAACCAATTTTTCAACAGGTACAATCTATGATAAATATTATGAAAAACTAATTTCAGATTAAAAACAAAAATCTAATACATATGTATATATGTATATACAATCTCTCTTTCTTCTTTCTTTCTCATGCACACCTTTTCTATACGAATAGCACGAAATGCATTTTGTAAAATTTTAAAATTTTGTATATTTTCATGTTCTAATTTGGCATTAAATTTCACTCTTTTTATTTGTAATGAACCTAGAAAAATAAAAATATTCTGTTTTTCTTTTTCCAGATATCAAAATTTGTTAACCAGTAACCAAAATAAGAGAGATTAGAAATATCTATATACATATGTATCTATAAAATTTCAAATTACCTTGTCTACAGATAGAGCTTTAAAATATTCTTGTAATACTTTAAAATTATTAATATATTCATGCTCAAGTTTTGTATTCCATTTAACCCGTTTTGAACGTGCACCTATAGAGCCTAGAAAAAAATATTACGTTAGTATTTTCTAAGTGTTATATCTATACATGCACAGGATAAATAAATTTACCTGGAAACATCATTTCCATAAATTGACAATAAGCAGCACCTAATCAAATATTTTATTTCTTTCATATATAAATATTAGAAAATAATAAAATCTAATAATTACCGGTACAAAGACCTTCAATTTTATTGAAATTAGCATCAAGTGCTGTATTTATCCATTGTAAAATATCATTACGACTTAGATTTTCTGTTGTTACACTCGTATGATATACATTAACTGCAGCCATCTAGAACGCAATAAAAATGAGTAATATATTACTATACTCATCTCATTGTAAATAAAATATCATGCGATCAAAAGATATATGCATATTGACATTTATTTCTCACTCATTCTCAATTAATGTCTATCGATAATCAGATCATTATTGAACTAATACATATATATATGTCAAAATGATTTTTGTAGAAGAAAAAAGAAGTAGGATGAATAAATATATGCTCATGATATACAAAAGACAATTGTGAATAATTTACACTTGTAAGATATGAATAGTGTTTTTGAACGTCAATAGCGACGAGCAAAAAAAATTGATCATCCGATAAACAAAAAATAAATAAAAAAAAGAGACATTAATATTGATTCATACAATTATTTCGTTTTTTTTCTACATATCATTGGAGAAAATTGTTTTTTTTGCAAAAAACGATACACGAAAGAGGGAGCTATTTTACAATAAGAATGGGAAAAAGAAACTATATCGGCGCTTAAAAACTTCTTTCTTTTTTTTTCTATCATTAAAGGAAATCAAAACTATATACTATGTTTAACTATGATATTTATGAAAATGATATGAATGAAATAATTGATTGTACATTTTATCAAAATGTTGATTCATGTCATACAACTCCTTCAATATATCAATCAAATTGTATGATAGAAAAGTGTTTAAATCAATCAATTTTAACATCTGAAACAAATTTTCGACCAATGAGAAATTATTTAAATGATATTCGATGTAGGATGTTAACAAAACTTGTTCAACGAAATATTACCGGTTTAGAATTTATTCAAGCTTTTGAACAAGCGTAAGTTTTAAAATATATGTTATTATATTTCTAAATGAATTCTAGACCAAATATGATTGAGAATATGTATATGTCTAACTCAAATATACATAATGACAAATTCATTGATCAATTAGCCGATATTACACATGATTTTATGATAAAATCTCCGTATAAATGTATGCCGACATCTCATATATCATCAACTACTAAAATTGATCATAAATTTCAACCATCATTACTTTCTTCTTCTGTAAGTTTTATTCATTTACAATCAATTATATAGACTCTATTCTCTTATTAATATAGTCATCACAATCAATAGCATCTCTAGTAAGATTTTTTACTATTAAAAGAAAGAGATTTCATATGTTCATTTATAGCCTAAAATAAAATCGAACTCACCATCGGTAAATTAAATCTTCTTTTTCTTCCAATAAATTTAATTATATATACTTATAGTTTACAACTATCAAAGTAAAATATTACTGCTTATTGATAGCAACAATTCGTTATTGATTTAAGTCGAAAACAAATTCAAATTCAAAGGAATTTTCACCATTGGAGCAAACTAAGTAACAATATACTTCTCTTTCTGTTTTTTTTAATATTGACGAGATTTTAGTTTGTCATCATCATCACCACCATTCACCATTTCAAAATCTTTACCATCTCGTCCAATGACTCCACCGAAATCTCCATCACCTGTTCTCTCACATCATTCATCTGAAGATCAATCTTATTCAAGTAAATAT